GGGCGCGCCTGCTCGTCGCTTACGGGTCGGGCAGCAGCAGCCAGAGCATGTCCCTGGGCGGTGGCCCGGCGGCCGCCACGGCCCCGCAGCCGCCGGCGGGCGGTGGGGATGAGGATGGTGCCGCGGCTGGCGGCCACTAGACTACTTGTTTTCGCTGCCGCGGGCGGCGGCCGCTCAATCTATTGGCCGGCTGGCACAACCTTGATGTTTTTTTGGTGTTGCGGGGCGGCAGCGCAGCTGGCGCGGGCAGCGGCGGCGGCCTTCGGCCCATCCGTACAGTGTACAATTCCGCCGCTGGGCTGCCTTTTTATGTGAATTTTTGAACTTGTGTTTGGATTCGTTATGTATTTTTGTTCCTATAGAAGGCTCTCTTTTTGGGGGCCGAGACACATAGCGTCTGCCAGGCAGAATGCGAGAGCCACGTCAGTCGTCTCCTTGCCAAGGTGTAGAGCCCCAGCTCAAGCTCATATGTAAGCGTGGGGCCTGGCGCCCGCTCCGGCCCGGCCCCATTGCGCCGCACCTGGACGCGGCGTGGGTGAGGGTGGGGCACCCGCAGGGCCCGCCCTGCGGAGGCCCCTGGATTGGGATGTGGCCGCGGATGCCGCGGGACCTTATGTGTTCTTTTCTTTTCCAGCCTCAATGTCCGTGCCCATGCTGCCGCGGGCTTTTGACCCCTCTGTTTTCACCCGGGCCGCCCCCGCATCCCCCCTGTACCAAAGCTGCGAAGGGCGTTTTTGCGGCTGGTGTGGCAAGCAGATGGGGTGCGGTCGCTTGACTGTAACAGAGGACCTCTTAAACAGTTTCCCAGAAGTGATAAGCAGCCGAGCACGGGCTGCATCAAGTACAAGGGTTGGGCGGTGGTGGTGCGGCGGCTGTGCCCAATGCGTGTGCGCAGCTGCTGCCGACTGGGTGGGCGGCAATTGCAGGGCGTCCAATAAGCATCAACCGTTTTGAAAAGAATTGAATCGAACGAGTTGACAACACACCCACCTGTTTGATGTCCAGTCGGCTCAATGACAAGGGTGCGTATGTCAGACTGCGCCCAGCGCCCAGCTCGGAGCCCCGGGGGCCGCACAGGCGGCCCCGGCCTAAAAAAGGGGTGCAGCCGCCCCCAAGACCCTCACAGCCGGCTCCTCACGCCCGCCGCGCTCAGCGCCGCGACGACCTGCGCCGCCGCGCGCTCGCCCGTCTCCAGCGCCGCCTGCATGCAGGGGTTGACCGCGGGGTGGCTGGCCTCCCCTGCAAAGAACAGCGCCCCGGCCACCGGCGCGGCGAGTGCCTCCCTGTCGCCCTCCTCGGCGCCGAGGGAGGGGAAGGTGTAGGCGCCGCCGACCCACTCAACCTCGGACCAGTCGAATACCTCGTACCTGGCCGAGGGCATTCGTGTGTGTGTGTGTGTGTGTGCGCGTGTAGGAGAGTGTGTAGGAGAGTGTGCGTGCGTGTGTGTGTGTGTGTGTGTGTTTGTGTGTGTGTGTGTGTTGTGTAATTTGAGGGGCCGGGTTTCGGGTGGGTGTTGGGCTGCAGGGGGAGTGATTGAGGGGTGCCACCGCATGCGAACCCGGTTTTACCTCACATGCCGTGTAAAGCAGCCCGGCTGTACTTGCACGGCCGGCGGCGCGGCCCGAAAGCCAGAGACATGCGCGGGCGCCCTCGCAATCACTGGTTTTGAAGGGCGCACGCGGCCGCCGGCCGGCCCCTCACCGCACAAGCGAGGCCGAGGCGGGCGCCGGGTCCGAGGCGGAGCCAAACATCTCGTCCAACTGCGCAACAAAGCGCCGCGCCGCCTCGGCGTGGCCCATGCCCTTGATCGCGTCGGCGCGCTCCCCCGCGATGAAGCCTGGCGGTTCGGGGCGGTTGGGGGCGGTTGGGAGCGGTTGGCAGCGGTTGGGGGCGATCGGGCTGCTGCGCAGGCCAGGGTCGACCCCCGTGACCGTGGGCAGGCGCACAGGCCTCGGACGCACCAGACAACGGGCGCTGCCCGGCGCAGAGCGCCCGCGGCGTCTCCGCCCGGGGTTCCTCAGAGGCGGGCGCCCTTGTGGGGGCGGTGCGGGGCGCCGGCCCCAAGGG